GATGCCCTGTGCCGGTTCCAGCCAGGGTCACATCTCTGCGCGCAGGACACTCATCTGGGAGAGGGCACAGGCTGCGGAGCTGGTGGCTTGTTTTCTATTTCAAGGAATTAATTCCAAGCGCAGTGAAGAGGTAGCTGTAAGTCGCCCCCATTTCGGCCACACTATGTATTTTCTTATAAACATGGTCAGGGGACCCTGGTGGAACTGCAAGCAGCCCCCTCCTGAGAAGACTCCTCCCTCACTCTTCTGTCCTTTCCAGTTCTCTCCTCACCCCTCTCTGTCCCTTCTTTCAAATTATCCCCCTCCATTGCCTTGCCTTCCCCTCCTCTCCTCCCCTTCCCCTGCTCTCCTCTCCTCTCATCCTTTCCCTTCTTCTCCTCTCCTCCCCCTCCCCTCCTTTCCCCTCCTTTCCCCTCCTCTCCCCTCCCCTTCTGTCTCCTCTCCTCTCTTCTATTCTCCCCTCCTTTCTCCTCTCTTCTCCCGATAACTCCCCCCCCCCCCCCCGCCATCTCCACAGAGGCTTTGAACATTTGAAATTTTTTTTTTTTTTTTTTGGTTTTTTCGAGACAGGGTTTCTCTGTGTAGCTTTGTGCCTTTTCCTGGAACTCACTTGGTAGCCCAGGCTGGCCTCGAACTCACAGAGATCCACCTGGCTCTGCCTCCCGAGTGCTGGGATTAAAGGCGTGCGCCACCACCGCCCGGCGAACATTTGAAATTTTAACAGAAATATTACTGTGGTGTGAGAAAGAAGAAACTTGAAGACTGTACATGCGTGGTGCAGATTAAAGATGAAAATGTATCATCAAATCGTGTTCGATGTCTTACAGAGTCTCTCCCATGGATGCTGCTTGGCAAACAGATTCCTCTGGAGCAGTGTTCTCAACCTTCCTGACGCTGCAACCCTTTAATACAGCTCCTCATCATGTTGTGGTGACCCCAGCCGTAACATTATTTTCGTTGCTACTTTTACAAGCGCAGTTTTGCTACGGTTAGGAATCATAGTGCAAATACCTGTGTTTTCCAATGATCTTAGGCGACCCCTGTGAAAGGGTCATTCAATCCCCCAAAGAGGCTGCGACCCACAGGTTGAGAACCACTGTTCTAGAGGTATCGGGATGGAGGGCTCTATGATGGTGTTTACCTAGAAATGCGCTGGTACGTCTGGCTTTTCGTGTGGGTCCCGGTGACAAATGGCTAGCCCTGGTGCTTGCTGGACAGTTCAGCTGTGAAGACAGTTGCCTACACTGTGTGATGTCCCTGGGATGTCACCAGGGGGCTATCAAACCTGTTAAAGGTCTTTCAGCTGGAGTGAACCTGAGGATGTGGAGTGTGCTGTGGAGTGTCCCTCCACTGATGCAGTTCCTGGCCACTCGGGACCTCAGAGTGTGGCCTTCCATGGAACTGGCTGGTTGCAGACGTGATTGTCTAAGGACTTGGAGATGGACCTATCCTAGATTTAGGGTGTCCTTGTAAAAGACCTGGGAAGGGCATCCTGAGATGATGAGGATAGGCTGCGGATGCCGCACGTGTCCAGGAACACCTGGCCACCGGGCTTCGGAGGAGGGAAGGCCACAGTCCAGAGCTTCCTCTATGACTGTGGCCTTCCCTTGATTATGGTTTTCCAGTTCACAGACTGTAAGCTATCGCTCAGTTCCACTCACTCACGCAGGCCCTCTCTAGAGAGAAGGGAGCCCCAGGGTTCTTCACAGAGCCCTGGCGATAGTCCCTGCTCTGATGTTCCTGGGTTTTGGGGTGGGGTGCTGGACTGTGGTCCCTCCTTCTGCGGACCCTGTGGTCACAGCAGTGTTCTCCTTAGTGGAGCTCAGGCAGCTGGCCTTGCCTTAGTGTGTCCCAGCTATGCTCAGAGCGGAAGGATACAAGCCAGAACCAAACGAAGGCCACTCAGCCAAATAGACTCTAGAAGGCTGTCTGTCCCCGTCTCCTTCAGGGGAAAAGAAGACTCAGCCACACCTCCATCACAGGGGAGCATGTAGAGTGACACAGCCCTCCCTCTTTTCACACCTGACAGCAGGGGAAGTGAAGGGGAGAGGGAGGGGGCAGGTGAGAGGCAGGGAAATGGTGCCTGGAGGCCAGAGGTGTTTGATTTGCCTTGGAAGAACTTAGGACTGCTGAGGAGGATGGGCATGGAGTGGAAGACCACAAAGGAAGAACGCATGGGGTCATGCACCATGTCTGGGGTGAGTCCCAGGTCACTTCCTGGCTGCACTGGCTTTGCCAGGAAGTCTCTGGGACACTCTAGGACACTCTGGAGTGTTCCAGATCGGTGGCCCATATGTGCAAATGCCACAGAGTACCATAGCTAATATTTACTTCAGGGAATCAGCCGCTCCATCCTCCATCGAGAAGGTGTGGTGCCCCTACAGCAGTGTGAACAGAAAGTCCCGTGAGGACTACGGAGTTTGCAGCTTGTCTAGCTGGGCTGCTCTTGACAGCCTTTCCATCCCACTGAACTTCATTTTTAAAAAACGTGTGTAAGCACCGTGCAGTGCAGGGTTTGGGGGAGCAGAAATTAAGGGTGGTGACTCGTTTGAAAAAATTTCAGGCAACTTCGTACTTCACCAACACCATTGCTCCGACCTGATTTCCTCCCCTGCCTTCTTCCCCCTCCTGTCTTTTTTTGGTCCACCCCTTCCTCTCTTTCACTTTTCTTCCCTTCCCCCTCCATCCTCCCATTTTCTTTCCTCTCCTTCCACCCCTCTCTCCCTCTCTTCTCTCCCCCCCCCCCAGCCCATTGTGAGCTGTTTTGGCTCAACACCGGTTTTTTCAACTAAGTTAGAATCTGGCTGCAAATAAGCTTCATTTGAGGCTACAAGACTTAAAAAAAAAAAAACAAAAAAACCCAAACCAAAAAACCTTTGACAAGTAATAGACACATATTGATCAGAGCACATTGCCAACATTGCCAAGTTGTTTTGCTATAAAACTCTAATTCAGCAAGCGTGGGTCCTCTCTGGTGACTGAGTGACATCAGGATGTGACAGAGAGACCAGAGGAGGCTGCATCCAGGGACCAGGAAGCAAAGCCTTTGAGTTGCTTTTGGGGACTTGATGGCATGGGGAAATAGCTTTCTTCTTTGGATTCTGCAGTTTTCTCTTAATCAGACCCTAAACTGCTGTGTCTTTAATTAATTTTTTTTTCATTTTACATTTCTAATGTGCATATGTGGAGGTCGGATGCCAACTTCTGGGAGTTGATCTCTCCCTTCCACCATGTGGGTTCTGACGACTGAACCCAGGTGGTCAGGCTTGGCAGCAAGCACCTTTGCTCACTGAGCAGAGCCCCCCTCACTCTCCCTCTCCCCGCCACCCCGTCCTCATTGTTGCTTTCTGTAAGCCTCAACAACTTGAAGGCAAACGGGAACGTACAGTGATGTAGGTGGAGGGTCTTTTACCCGAGATGCTTGGGCCCAGAAGGCTTTTGGACTTTAGATTTCTTTGGATTTGGGATTGTATACATAATGAGATGACTGGGGGATGGAGCCCACATGTGAACACGAAACTCATTTATTTTATATACGCCTTCCACATATAGCTGGAGGGTGCTCTGTACAGCACTTCAGGAGCTTTGCACTGAAACATGGCCTGTGTACACTGGGCCACCAGTCTGTGGTGGGGCTCAGAAGCCTGGGGGTCTGGAGCGTTTCAGACTTCAGAGTGGGGTGTCAGAGATCCCCAGCACCCTGGTCAGCCTGTCTCTCTAGCAAGGGGAGTTTGAGAGGCTCAAAGGGGACTCTCGGTGAGGCTCTAGACCATCATAGAGCCCAGCCGATGGCTAACGTGATCTACCATCTAGTGAGTAGCCTAGATATCCCATTTACTAATAAAAACAGTGGAATGCTGGGAAGTTCTTACTTTTTTTTTTGAGTCAGTGTCTCGCTGTGTAACCCTGGCTGTCCTGGAACTTGCTTTGTAGACCAGGCTGGTCTTGAACTCACAGAGATCAGCCTGCTTTTGCCTCCCGAGTTCTAGGATTAAAGGTGTGCACCACCACACCTGGCTAGTTTTTATAATCTCACATAAACAGTTTTCTTGGAAAAGTGGGACACACTAGTTTTAGCTTAAACTCAAAAACCCAGGTGGTGACATGGTGCTGTGTCCAGATGTGGTCACTGGAGGGTTAAAAAGACTTTGTAGTCCAGAGAGTTACTGCCGGTTTAGAATGGGGTGGACCCCATGGACTGTCCTTGGTGCCATGGGGAAAGGCAGATACCTAAGGAAAGGAGGGCTCGTCTTCTTCTTGACTGCAATTATGGTCCTATAGACCCGATTTCAAGCCCTCTGCCCAGCATGTGGGCAGGAGGGAGTACTCCCCTGCATCTCCGACTTGCTTGATGATAATGCATCTTCTGCATGGGCTCCTGTCTCATTGATGCCGCACACTGCCTTATACCACACCGTGCTTCATCGTTCTAGAATTCAGAAGCCGGAAGGGTGACAGTGTCCCCATGTATTTCTATCTGCAGCTTGCCGAGGTTTCACACTGTGAGCTCCCCAGGATCCCACTGTTCACCGGGCTGCTTGGTCAGCTGAGGCACACAGAGACCTCTCAGATGCAGGAGGTATGGTGTGAGTGGTCCGGCCTTGGAGAAACGGAACAGAGTTTGAAAGTCACATTTGTGGGGACCAATGGTGTAAAATAACACTGTAGCTGGACTTTTCTTCTTCCTTTTCTTCCAGCTGCAAGTTACCTGTTTTTGCTTTGGCTTTTACATGATTTGAGGTCCAGTAAATAGAGGTGCCGTTAGATGCCTGCCTGCCTGCCTGCCTCCCTCCCTCCCTCCCTCCCTCCCTCCTCCTTTACTTTGTTCCCAACAAGGTCTTACTATATACCCCAGACTGGCCTGGATCCCCCTGCCTCCGCCTCTTAAGTGGTAGGATTACAAGTGTGTGCCACAACTCCCTGCCAGTTAAATTTTTTTTTTTTTTTTTTTTTTTTTTTTTTTTTTTTTTGTGAATTCTATTTTCTTGAGAGGGTGCTTTAGCATCTGTGTGCATCTTTGTTCCCCTGATAGGTAAAAGAATGAAAGACAGATGCAAAAAAAAAAATCAATCCTCTTTTGCAGCCCAGAGCTCATTGTTTAGCAGAGTTTTGAAACGTAGAAGAAGGAGTATGACGCACAAATGACAGCTCAGAGCGATGCTTGTGTTGGTAATGAGTTCGGTTCTAATAATAAAGAGTTTATAATTTAGAAGCATAGGTTAAAAAATAGAAACTTAATTTTCAGTGAATTGCACAGCATTGTTCTCTGCACACAATGCTGCTGAGCAGGCCCCTAGGACTCACCCGTCTTGCAGAACTTTGCCCCTGCTGGTTAGCAGCCCTCTCTTTCCTCTCCCCTTCCCAGAGTAGTCACTGTTCTATATTTTGCATTTGTGACTTTGGCTTGTTTAGATGCTCATTTATGATGCCCATGAAGTGTTTGTACTTTAGCGATGGGCTTAGTCACGTAGCACCATAGACCCAAGGCTCATCTACACCTTGGTAACTGGCAGGGGCTCCTCCTTTTTACAGGCTGAGTAATACTCCCCGGGATGTGCATACCACATTGTCTTTCTCCTTTCATCTGCCCAAGGGCATTAAAGCTGTTCAGATGGCTGTTTTGAATAGCAGTGCAATGCCCACAGCAGACAGGCGCCTCTTAGAAGTCTTGACTTCAATTCGTTGGATTTATCTCGGAAGTGAGATGGCTAAGATCACACAGTAGTTCTGTATTTGATTTCTTGGGAGAAAATTCTATCCTGTTCTCCATAGCATCTAAACATTGTTGTTGTTGTTTTGAGCTAGGTTGTATGGAGTTCAGGCCAACCACACATTGACACTTTCGAAATCACAAGCTCAGATGAATTTTTCCTCCTTATACGTTGCTGGCCTCAGGTATTTTGTCATAGACAGACAGCTAATCAGCAAGTTACTTGGCTTCTTCTTTAAGGCGGGATCCTGGATAAGACTAAAGAAATAATGGGTGCTAACCATAGCCTGGCACTTAGCAGGATGAGTTATTTCAAAAACATTTGCCTCCATATTGCTGTGTAGTTGCTGGTGTCTACACAGCTTCTGATCAGTAGGAACACCCCCTACAGAGATCTCCCTCTTTAGCGGAAGAAGGCTAGTGCATAGTGAATTAATATTACAATGGCATCATTAATGATAAAGACTATGAACATGGATCCAACCTGGTATAATGGATGTGATTGAGTAATTAGGGGATCCAAGCAGGTTCAGGTACCTGGCTTACGTTGCAGGGATTCTACAGCTAGGCAGACACAATGAATGAGTTACATTTGGCTTCCCGATCAGAGATAGGAAAATTACGTTTTGTTGAAATCATAGCAAATAAACTACAGTGATTACTTTTGTGAGTGCAAAGTCACCTTGTGGGAGAGGGCAATCTGCATAGTTGTCTCCTGTCCAAAAGTCTGAGCTCCTTGGCATAGGAGGGAGCTGGGGCTTTGCTCTGAAACGACTCCTTCCTGTCACCTCTCGAGTGTGTGCAGATTAACCCTGTTCTAGTTACATTTCTGTTGTTATAAAATACCTGACAGAGGCCGGGCGGTGGTGGCGCACGCCTTTAATCCCAGCACTCGGGAGGCAGAGCCAGGTGGATCTCTGTGAGTTCGAGGCCAGCCTGGGCTACCAAGTGAGTCCCAGGAAAGGCGCAAAGCTACACAGAGAAACCCTGTCTCAAAAAAAAAAAAAAAAAAAAAAAATACCTGACAGAAAGCATGCAAAAGGAACAGTTGTTTCAGCTCCCAATTCCAGTGTACAGTCCCTCACCACACGGAGGTCAAGGCAGCAGGAATTTCAAACAGCCAGTCCCATCCCATCCACAGTCAAGAGCTGAGAAAAATGTGAGCATGCATGCTTAGTGTTCAGCTAACTTTCTCCACTCTTCTGCAGAGCAGTGCTCAAACCAAGGGAATGGTTTCAGGCTGGGTCTTCCCATATCAACGAAGGCAATCAAGATGATCCCTCACAGATGTGCTCAGGTTGGTCTAGCCTGGTCCAGACACTCGGGTTGGTCTAACCTGGTCCGGAAGTCTCTTATTGAGACTCTTCTCCCCAGGTGATTCTAGGTTGTGTCAAGTTGACAATTAAATTGTCACACACCACTTGAGACACTCTGGCCCACCGGAAGTTAGTTTGAAAGTGACTTATCCAAGGTCACCTGAAGACTCATGTGAGTTTAGAAAGCCGTTTTATTGAGAGTTTCTCTCTGTCCCCCTGGCCATAGGAGACCCTACTCTCATCCTCATTAGCATGAGGAAACTATGATGGTCGTTTACTAAACAATGTCATGCCAGCTGCAGTAACAAATAGTCCTAACATTTGAGTGGCTTAATCTGACACATCAGTGACATCCAGACATGCCATAGCCTGTCATGAAGTGACTTGGTGACTGAGATCTCTCCTTCCTGTGGTGTTGCCAACTTCTAGGGCTACCTGGAGTCTTCTGTGTTCAGTTATGCTGTGAGAGTGTGGCTGATCACGCAGGACACTTGCCGACAAGTCTGCAGGTGCATCACGTCTGATATATTCTAACAGTAGAGGCTGGTCGTAGGACCCCTTATGAATTCCAAGAAAAGGCCGAGAAAGTTCTCTTCCTAGGCACTGTGCTTTGGATGTGAAATATCTCCCATAAGCTCATGCGTTTGAACACTTGGGCCCCATCTTGTGGTGCCGTCTTAGAAGGTTGTGGAAGGTTTAGCCCTGCTGGAAGAAGCTGGTCACCAGGGTCTGGCTTTGGCCCTTTGAGGTTTTAACCAGTTCCCATGATCCTGCCATACCATCAGTGAACTATGACCTCACATTCTGAGCTCAGTTGCTTTTGTCAGGGTGTCCTGTGGGAGCAACCAGGCAAGTAAATATTTCATGGAGGGGCCGTGGGAAAGAAATGGATTTGAGGACACTGACCATCCTTAGTCCCTCTGGTTTATGAATGGGTATGTGAGCTGCCTTCTATTGGGGCAGCTTGGTCTCAGGCAGCAAGTTTGGAGCTGTGACACCTGGGTAAATAGGAAAGGTGTCTCATGCCTACAGAGATGAGTCCATTTCTTTATCCCTGTCAGGGTTCCTACCCATCTAAGGAAGAAGCATCATGGGGAAAAGGGCTCTTGAATCTAAGCTCTTGGATACCTGCTCCCAGATAGTACTTGGAAGACCTTTGGTGTCTGGATCCAGTCTGCTCTGGGGTCATCTCAGTTGAAGTCAGTTTGAATTTTCATTTGCTGTCACTTAGTGCTGAACTCATCCTCACAGGTAAGAGGTAGCGTGAATGTTTCATGGAACAGTGTCTACAACTGAGCGAGGCTGTCACTGTGACAGTGATAACCCAGACTATGACAAAGAAACAGTGCTAGACATGTAGCCTGGGCCCAGATCTCAGAGGCACAGGGAAGGCAGGGAAGCATAGGCTTTGGATTTAGAAAAACCTGGATTGCCATCAGAACTTGAATTCTTCTCAGCTCTGTGATCACAGGCAAGTTACACACCCTCTCTGAGTGTTTTCTGTTTATTTATGGAGTCCCAATAACTAGCTAAATGAAGAAGAGCAGCATGTAAAGTGTTTGGTTCAGCGCTATCATTTAATGGCCGCTAAATTCTTAGTTCATTGACTTTTAGACACAAAAACACCAGTTTTGTCTAGTCCCTGAGCCAATTACCCAGGGGCTCCCCTCCCCGTACTGCCATAGACAGCCTTGCAGAGGTGTTTCCTACCTGACACCCCACTTTAACACAGCAGCCAGGTTGGACACTCCATTATTCATATTCTGCAGTAATGGGCTCATTAAACATGGCCCCGCGACTCCGCAGAGCCTGGAACGGAACCAAAGGCCACTTCTCTGGTGGTTGTTTTCTTCCCTGAGATGCTTATGTGTTTTGGAGACGATGCCAAGATATCCGGCAAAGCACTCACATTCTTTCCAGAAGGAGACAGCCTATAAATTATTAGTAAGTAAATAAATAAATAACCATCGGGTTCTGTCAGTTTGGGAGGGAAGAAATCAGGCAATCAGTGTTGGCTGCCATGTCACCCGCTTGATTGACTGAATTGTGAGTTTATTTGGGGGGGCGGGATGGAGGCAGAAGGGAGGAAACTTCAGCCCTGTGCGCCTCTCTGACAAAGAAGTTTGGGGAATAAACTTCGAAAGCAAGGAGAAGAGAGTTGGCCTCGGCAACTGCTCCACTCCCCTGTAATTAAGCACGGCATAGTGCCCGTCGTACCTGTCACTTTGCATGCGCAGAGAGGTGCCAGATGAACACGGGGACCTCACCGCCTTATAAAAAATTAAGCGCAACATCATCCTGATGTGTTTTTGATCTCTACATATATTATCGTTTCTGGCAATACAAATTCTAATATCAGGAATGAAAGGGCCTCATGTTCAAAGAACCCTTCAATTCTTTTCATTTATTTACTTTTCCAAAAGGAGTTTTTCCACAAAAGCAATGTTTTACGTCTTCTGAAGAATTAAAAAAAAGAAAGAAACACAAACTTTTATAATGACCTCATTCCCCTCCCTCTTTCAATGTTAAAGTATAATTGTCAAGGTAGAATCCATACTCAATAGTGACTGACAGTGCCGGGGTGATGACATATGGATATCTCTCCATATCCGCACAGATATGGGGAGAGTTCATGGTGGGAAAACATCTTCCCATGTCCTGTGGTCAAATCTGTGTGCCCCCCAGCCAGTCCCTGCTGACTAGTCTTGTGAGTCTCTTGTCCCCATAGTCCTGCCTCTGTGAGAACGTTGGCTGGCTGGCAATCATTGTGCTGGACTTAAATGACTTTGACATTCATGTCTGTTCTTATGGATATTAGTTTTTCCCATTTCATTGATGAATAATATTCCAATATATAAATGTAAAAAATTTTGAGGTTGGTTTGTTTCCCAGGTGAGACACTTCGTGGTTATCAGCAGCGTAAACATTCCCCTATAGAATTCATAGGAAGCTAGGTTTACAGTCTGCTTGGGTAAAAACTTAGCAATTGCCCAGCTGGGTTATAAGGTAAATGCTGTAAATGCTTCACACTGTAAGAAAAGTAAGATCCCGCCTGCTTTTCTCCAGAATACCATTTTATGATTTTTTAATCTCGTATTACGTGTGTG